TACATATATGAGGCATTGTTTTTCATATCGGACACCAAATTTGGTGTCACAATTTCGATTGGCTTCACATATTTCCTTTTTTCTTTGGATATATGATCTTTCAAATTTTGGATTTTTTCGTGATGTAGTTCTTCAAATTGTTATATCTCGGGTTCTGTTCATCGTAGTGACTTCATTGTTGACCCTCACAAAATAAACCACCTCGTAATAAAAAAAAAAATATTTTAAAAATAGTTCATGAAAAACTCCAATTTTTTTGGAACATGTGTTTTATAGAGAATTAAACAAGGATTACGATGGTGTAACTTGAAGTCCCAAATTAACTGGTCTTTACTATGCAAATCAACTTGAAATAGTTCAACTGTTAATAGCTAATTTAACTCCAGGACAATCTTAACCATCATATCATCAAAACGACGTTAAGATTAAGTTTTTACGATGAGTAGAGCCCGAGATATAACGATTTGAAGAATAACACGAATGGTCAGAATCATGAAAGAATTCGATCTTTAACTCATCATATCTCTGAAGAAAAAAAGAAAATAAAACCCTCGCATACGGCTATTGGTTATATCATAAAAAACCTATAAACAAATTTGAAGCGCATCAGAACCACGACATCATTTTTTTACGAAATCCGTCCGACTTTTATATATACATAATTATATATACATATGTTGTGGCATACTAACATTACTACACAAAGATGATCTCTTATTTTTTACATTTTGTAAAAATTACTGCGACTGCAATATGAATGAATTTCATTGCCATAGTTTTTAGTTTATTCAGTTGGTAATTAGCTTTTTAAACTGATATAAAATAAAGACATTTATATTTCTTTGCTTAAAAACACAAATTTATTTTTATTTCTAGTATTCACAATAAAGCAAGACGGCAAAACTAGTTTGTTAGCATATTTTAATTAATGGTTATAATATCCCGAAATATCCCAGGATTACCAATTTAAAACCCCGAAATCCCGGGATTCACTAAATGGTCCGGGATTGGAAGCTTTAGTACCTACTCACGAAATTTGATGTGTAAACGTATGTTTACGGCTCGGCGAACCATTAGGCTAGGGATCGGCGGCAGAACAGTTCGCGCGGAACAGCGCGGGCAAGCAGGTGCTTGATGCGGGTTAAAAATTTAAAACCGAAAGGGTAAGCAAAAGCCGTGTACGTGTATTAACCCATTTTATGCAATGTATATTGCCAAAGGCTATTATATTCACCTCTTTGTTTATAGAGGAACAATTTCTAGCTATATTTGTAGTCTATTTATTAAAAATAATTCAACATCATGAAATGTCGACCAATTTAATTTTTATTTATTAATAAATCAATAAAGTTTAAATTGATTATACATATGTAAAAAATAGTATGTGCTAATTCATACTGGCGAACAATAACGTGTTAACGATCTTGCTTGCGCATGTGTTCGTAAATAAGAGAGCCGAGCGCTGTTACTAGGCTCAGTCGGTAGAAAACCGTCATATAAAAGGGTTGTTTTGTGCATGATTGTCCTTTTTTCCAAGCAAATTTCTAACGAAAAACTATCTGCGCAAGAACAACCCCTCCCTTTGAAAATTTGCGACCAACAGAACGCTGACAATGCAAAAGTGAATTACAAAACAGCTAATATGCGCGCAAGAAGTCGGTACTCACCACCAAAATCGCTAGAATCCTGCTAATCATTTAAATTCTGTAAACTCTTATGAAAAAAAGTTTCTTTTTTAATTTAGCAGTTAAACTTTATTTGATAAAGTAGAGGTCATATGTTTATAAAAAACCCTCAGTTTTTTAACAAAAACAAAATTGGAGCTTCGTTATATGGTCATTGGTCATAAGAATGTGGTCTTCATTTCCGTGACTGTTGAGCTCGTTGGAGTTTGTAAAATGTAGTCAATGCAAAACTTATTTGCACTTTTATGTCCATACCTGCAATTAAAAAAAAAAAATAAAGCATTTGCACAAGCGCTGTCAAATTAAATACACGCCTTTGATTTAATCAAAATGTATTTACCAAAGTGTGATTAAAGTGAAAATTCAATTGGTTCTATAAAATTTTAAAATCGTTATTAGTTCGTTACTATTTAATATCTTGGACCGATCACTAATGTAGTATAGATGCATATTAAATTTTACTGAAAAAAAATGTTTGGTGTTTTGATTTGTCCCAAGTTTTGGTGCTTTTAGGAAAGTTGGCAGCCATGGGGTCTCACATTCATGAGTACTCACTTATACTTGTTCTCTCATTCCGATCACACATACAGATGCAATTCGCGCAAAATTTTCTGTTCCCAGCCCCCCCCCCCCAGGCATAATTACCTCACCTCATCTACCCAACGGTTTGCACATTTGCCCGCGGTGTGCACGTTTGGGCATTTTGCCCGTATGTGCATATTATGCCCATTGCTACATTAGGCGATTGAGTTACATACACTGCCGGAACAAAGTATTGGTACAACAAATTTTTCATAATATATGCAACAATTTTTATTCCAATATTTTTCTGCAAATTTTGTATAAAAATATGGTTCATTCCACAACAAAAACATAAAAATATAACTTTTAAACTTTGTGCAAAGCTCGCGAAAATTCAGAAAATTTTAATGCAAATTTTAAACTTTTTAATCACATTTTTTAGAATTTTTTGAGTATGCAGTTTTGCAGCCCATTAAATTCTAGTATACTATACTATATCTCCCTTCTTACTCATGTAAATTCGGTCAGTCTTAAAAATTTCACACTCCATTTTTGCGATACCGCCTCTTAAGAAGTTTCACTTCCAAAAAATATATGTCAAGGACTAATATATTAGTTTTAGATAAAAAAATTTTACACTTATATTTATAAGATATTGATAGTTAAAATATACATTAATGAAGATATTTCATTAAGATATCTCAATTTTTTCTCGAGTTATCGTATAAACGGACGGATGGGCAGATGGATGGACAGACAGACATGGCTTAATCGATTTATCTTTTCATTATGAGCATTTTGGTATATATGCGGCAACGCTGCCACTTGCTCATAAGTTCGAAAGTGTACGGTCGAATCTCCCATTTGATTTTAAGCCTCTCACAACTTATGAGCTGTCTACCAGAGTTACTGTTTAAGGCCAGAAATAATAGAACGGGCATATATTTCTGTTGCAAACGTGGGTTGCCTTGTGCTCTTTTTTTTTACAAAAAACTTTAGAAAACTGTAGTAAAAAGCGTAGAAAATTTCTTAAGAACTGCGTACTGCCTCAAGGAAATTTGGCACAAAAAAATTTCTTAGCCATTTCTTGCACGTCATTTTATATGAGTTTTTGCTTTTGTTGAGAGCTGAATACTGGCTTTAACGAGACTCGGTATTGAGATGACACTTCAAAGGGTTCACAAGCGCATTCAGACTTACCTTGTACTAATTTATTGGTAAGTATTAGTTATCTAACCTAAAAGTAGTTTTTCAGACTGTTACAAACAAACACTATGTGCGATAATACCCTTATGCACAAGTGCGCTCGGGTGTAAAAACAATGGATCTGGCAATTATTTCAATATAAGAAAATAAATTGTATGATTTTAATATGTCTGGCTGCAACTAACCCTAGGACTTTCCGGAACCTTATAAATAATAGCAAGCTCCTCATACTATTTAAATTGCTTACGATTATTAGGGTGCATTTTCAAAGTTAGCTTGGGGTTGGCAGCGCTTTTTTAAATGTTCTCCTGTTTACAATATTCGCTTGGAATGAACTTTCGCGTTCTTAATGGCATAAATACAATGGCCCGAAGTTATAGTCAAAATAAAGTTGACCCTTAAGTTAAAACAAGCTTTTTTGAGAAATACTCCATACTTTAGGATCGACTTTATTTTGGCTATAACTACGGGCAAACGTTTTCAAACATCGAGCATAAAGACAACTTCACTCCAAGCTGTAATTGTAATTCGAACAGAAGAACATTTCAAAGAAAGCATTCTCAGCTCAGGGCTAACATTGTAAACGCTCCTTTAAAAATAATCTTATTTGAATTTGAAAATGAATTTGTTTCAAAATAGTCTACCTGTTCAGAAATTTAAAATCGCTAACATAGAAAATCCCCAAAAGCTCCATTTGAAAAATCGTCTTACTGTTTTCTTGATCCACACAAGCCAAACGGTGAAACTTTTGCAGTTTGCTTGAATTTTGGTCACCAGGTCAGTGCTGCATACTGGATAATCACTGTTTCACAATTTTTAGGAAAATTAAATTTGTTTCGCTCCATGCATCATAATAAGGTCTAATGTATGTATATCCTTATGCATATGCACACATAGATATTATCTACGCTAAAGCATTTCATTCTAAAAATCTGGAAACTAAATGAACAAGTGATAGGCTCTTAATTAAGTACTTTACAACAGTTCAGTCTTTATTTAGGTGTATTTCTGTACATCAAGTAGAATAAAAGGTTATTATATTTATGTAAATTTAACGACATTTATAAAATAATGAACTGGGAATTTGTTGTGATTATTCCTTTAAAGAGTATCTACATACTACATAAAAATTCAATTGCTTTAATACTGTTGATTGAAAGCGCAAAAAAGCGCTTAATTAGGTGGGTTTCGCCTAATTATTAAAATGAGATATATTGATATACATACATATGTATGTATGTATAATAAACTTGCAAACAAAACATGAACAGGGCTGATTCAGAAGTGTAACAGGGCTCTTACACGATGTGTAATTGCATCTGTAAATGCTACTTTTTTGCATGTACTCGTATGGAAATGCATATCGTGTAAGAGTACTGTATGCAAACGAGTTACTACGGAGCCCAACTGATACATCCCAGTAGAAATTTTATGCATACGACATCGCTGTTGGTGGCATGAGCTTGCTGCTGTGTATACATGCCAGTATAAATGAACCTTCATTTCCATTTAACACGTGTGGTTTCTCAGAGCGTATGCATACTCTAACCATATACTTGTACTACTGCTGTATGCATATGGCTGTCTAATGTTTCAAACATACAAAACTGCATTAATGGAACAGTATTAAAGCATTCCTACAAGATACATATGTATCTCCATATGTTAATGTTACTTTTCTGATATATTTTAATATACGGGGATATACAAAAAAGCATCATTTACATATGCAAATGCATATCTTGTAAAAGCCCGCTAGAGCTGAAAATATTATCGCACAACACGTCCGTTCACTAAAATTTTTTACTAGACTGAAAATGTTACAAAAATTCCAGTTCAAATTTATCAAGAAGTGTTCTTAAAACAACAACAACATGCGTTCCCTTGCAATTCGCTAGAATTTGAATTTACATGACTACGCATGAATTGTTCACACTATTCACTCATACAGCATGCATACTTCATGAATGCATACAACCGATTTCTACTGGGATGTTATCCATGAATGGGATGTATGTTTATACATACATACATATACATATCATTTATACATATACATATATATATGTATATTAGCTTCACCACTAAAATACTGATGCAACAACTTAAGCATACTCACTTTCTTGACAGCTAAATATTATGTACTACTATTTCATATGACGGATAAACTTTATAGCAAAATTGCATAAAAATAAATAAATAAATAGCGTATAACAAGCGGCAAGGCGCCAGCATATCTTCGATCTCCAACTTTTAATTCAGCTTTGCTTAATATTCAAATTTCGCTTGATCGTTTTCCTGTTCAAAACCTTGTTACATATGATTTGATATTTTTACATATGTATCTATGTATTTATGTATATATTCCTTGATGATGATTTGTGGCAGACTCTGCAAGCATTTTATTTATTGTATAAATATGTATATTCCCATTAAAAACTTGTAGGCTTATTGAGCTTGTAGAAGTTATTGGGGTAATAGGAACATGCATATAACTAAGAATGCATCTAAAGGCATGTGTGTATTGTCTTTTTCGTTCGACATAATTTACACTTGACTTCACAGCACCAGTGAAACGTGCATGCACAGCGTTCAACGACGACGACTTCTTGCGTACGATAACCCCTACCGCAACACATCAAATCACACCCATCAACGCCGATAGATGTATCATTGCATTGACGTCCATGCGTTCCTTGGATGCCCAAGCGCAAATTTTTCTCGCAAAAACTCGGTGACTGTTCCAGGTAAACAATATCTTTAGGACCAGGTGGTTTGTGTTCAGGATTGTGTGGTTTCAACTGGAAATTGTATCTGTTGAAAAATAGTTTTAATATTTTAGTATGAGAATTCCTAACATGTATATAAAAAGCTAGTATAAGTAGATGAATATTTAAAAGTGCCAGCTTAAGACTAGACTACAGAGTTAAACACATACGGGCCGTAGTTATAGTCGAAAGTTAAAACCTCTTCTAGTTAAAATTAATCTTTAAGTTAAGAGCAGGCTTTAAGTTTTAGTCAGTTATAGACATGTTAGAGGCAGGTTTTTGCTAGATTGACATAAAACAGGGCCACTAATATAAAATGAAAAAAAGTAACCAATCGCCATTAGGAAAACTTTGTTATTTTAGCAAGTTCACCCTGTGTCAACTGACTTTTATAAATAATTTTGAAAATGGCGCAGCAAACTGTAAGTAAATAACAAATTTTTGTAAGATATATTTTATCAACGTAAATAATTTAATTTTTATAGGAAGTGAAAAGAATTCGTGAAGTTAACTGGACTGCTGCTGTAAAGATCTGCTTGCGGTCCTCCTCTTTCATTTGAAAAGGATCTTGACGTTCCTTGTATGTTTTCCTATTTCTGGTTGCGATAGTATCATCCAAAATCGCAAAATCTCGAGATATCCTTTGATTGGGAAGCATATTCTTCAAATTAAGACCACTTTTGTATTTTCTCCGCAAATTTTGACAGGAAAACGTCTACTTAGGGTACGCTTTTAAGATTTTAAAACCTCGTCAACCTCATTTTAAATTTAAAACGCCGTTTTAAAGTTAAAAGGTCTTTTAAGTTGACTATGACAGTGTTAAAAGGGTGTTTATCTTAATATACAGTTTTAAATGTTAAAACCTGCCTCTAACTTGTCTATAACTACGGGCCATAATCTTGAGTTAAAAACACATCTATACATATACAATTTTAACAGGCCGATATCTGTATATTACACAGGCCAACAAAAATGGGAAAACATTTTGTTTCCTAAAATGTTAAAGCTGTTTTTGATAGACTTTTTTGTGCTGATTACGAATCTGTAGGTATAAAGTTTCCATCAGCTTTAGATTTTGAGAAAAACCTGGTCAAAGTATCAAAAAATCGCGTTTTTTGCAACTATTCCTGGAAATACCAATCGTGTACCTTGACATGATGGTCACTTATAGGCATTTGTTGATTAGCAAAAACTGATTTTGGCGAAGTTTGAGTACCTACCTCAATTAAACAAAAGGTGATAGAATCTTCCACTTTGGCTTAAATTAAGGCTTGAACTTTCAACTACAATCTCTGAAAGTACCTTGACCCTAAGGTCACTTATAGTCATTTATTCCAATAGCACAATACTCCAGTATTTTATTATTATTCAATAAATGACTATAAGTGACCATCAAGTCAAGGTGAACGAGAGTTCTAGCTTTAATATAGTTTTTTTGCTAGAGCTTCTCAAATATTGCAAAAAACGCGATCTTTTGGTACTTTGACCACGTTTTTCTCAAAATCTAAAGTTGATGGAAACAGATTCGCAATCAGCACAAAAAGGTCTATCGAAAACTGCTTTTACATTTCAGGAAACAAAATCAGTGTTGCCCTGTGTTATAGATATTAAAGAAAGATTAATGTGGGGCGTCTTTATTAGAGCAACAGAATCCAAGTCAACAAATTTTTGAATTTTTGTCTGCTTGTCTGTATGTTTGCACACGCATCACTTGAAAGCGAATGCATGGAATTGAACGCAGTTTTCACCGATGTATTGCTAGAGGTCTAACTTACAGAAAAAAATGGAGAGTTGCCACCGGTTTGAAAATTACAGTTTAAGTAAATTGATATGAAAAAGTAAATATTGCAATATGGCCGTCAAAAGAAACAGGTTTAAGAAGGCTTGCAGCCGAAGATATTTTTTGAGGGTTGCCACCTGTTTGAAAATTTTAATTTCATTTTATCTATAAAATAAATTGAATATTGCAATATGGGAATCAAATTGAAAAGGTTGTGGGAAGTTTACTGCCGAAAATATTTTTGAGGGTTGCCACCTGTTTGAAGATTTTTATTGAATTAAATTGATAAAATAAATGAAATCTACACTTATAATAAAATTGTAACAGGCTGATGTCTTTACATTATAAATATTAAAGACAAATTAATATGGGGTTTTATAAGAGGTACAGCAGCCAAATATACAATTTTTAGAATTTTTGTCTGTCTGTCTGTATATCTACATACCTTTATACGCGCATCACTTGGAAATTAATTTGTGGAATCGATTTCAGTTTTTCCTAATGTATCGCTATAGGTCTAACTTACAATATAGAAGAAAAAATTAGAGAGTTGCCACCTGTTTGAAAATTTCAGTCTAAGTTAATTGATTTGATGAAATAAATATTGCAATATGGCTGTCAAAAGAAAGAGGCTTACAAAGGCTTACAGCTCAAAATATTTTTGTGGAAGGCTGCCACCTGCTTGAAAACTTTTATTTAATTTAATTGATAACACAAACTAAATATTTCAATATTGGCGTCAAACGAAAGAGGGTTTACAGCCAAAAATATTTTATGGGAGGTTGCCACATGTTCGAAAAATTGTATTCATTTTAATTGGTAAAATAAATGAAATATTACAACACGGATATTAAACTAAAGCTTACTTTCGAAAATATTTTTGAAGCGGGTTGCCACCTATTTGAAAAATTTAATTTAGTTAAATTGATAACATAAACTAAATGTTGCCATATGAGTATCAAACGAAAGCATTTGAGAATAATAAAATTGTAACAGGCCGATATCTGTACATAATAGATATTAAAGAAAAGTTAATAGGGGTTTAGTTAGATCAACAGAAGCCAAATGAACAATTTTTTAATTTTGGTCTGCCTGTCTGTATGTTTGTAAGCGCATCACGCAAAAACTAATGTATGGAATTGAATGCAGTTTTCACCGATGTACGCATTGGAAAAGGGGCGTGGCGCCTCCCATACAAACGGAACTTCTCATATAGCTTATATCTGGGACCGCTTATGCTAACATCCTGAAATTCGGCACTGCTACATACATACATATGTTATCAATACCGTACTTATGGCGAAAAGAGGCAGTTATTGGAAAGGCTGCATATATACATTTACATAAACGGGAAAGTATCATTCGATTAGGAACCACTTTCCCCTAGATTTCTAAATCGCAATCGTAACTATGTATTAATTTTTATTAATGGTAAAGTTTTGAAGATTTTTTTTTTAATTTTGCTTAAAGTTGAAGGCTTTGATTTTTATGAGTTCCGTTATAGACTGCCCTATCTACATACCTACATCTATATATATAAAATAATAGCCGTTTTCGTTGTTCGGAGTTAACTCAAAAACTACTGCATAGATTTCAGTCAAATTTTCAGAGGTTTTACCTTGCATACATGGTCATAGGCTACCAGAAACCTCGGTAGGTGGAGCTGGGATCGAGTTATTTATAAAAATCGTATATATGAACCGATTTCTTTTAAATTCAAAATGTAAGCTACTATCATGATGGCAAACACATTTACCAAAAATAGACCCGCTAGGTAGCGCGGGAGTCGAGCTATTTATAAAAGTCGTATTTATGAACCGATTTATTTCAAATTCAAAAGGTATAGTTTCAGCATACCAAAAATGGAGCCGCTAGGTGGCGCGGGGGGCGAGTTATTTATAAAAGTTGTATTTATGAAACGATTTCTTAAGCATGATGAAAAAAGCACTTGAGAAAAACGGACCCGCTAGGTGGTGCTGGAGTCGAGTTATTTATAAAAGCCGTACTTATGAACACATTTTGTTAATACACATTCGAAACGTTTATTACTTTCATGATGATTTTTTTTTCATTCGAAACATATTCAGCCTTGTCATGAGTTTCATCTTCCATGAACCGGTTCACTATTCGCTTTTGGTTTCCATGTACTTACTATGGGGGGAATCAAAATTTTCGCCCGAATTTTTTTTCATTACATACATAAAATGATAGCCATTTCTTTTTTTCGGACTAAACTCAAAAACCACTCAATAGAGCCCAGCCAAATTGTCGGAGGTCCTATTTTAGGCTACTAGAAAACACGCTGGTGGCGCTGGAGTAGAGCTACTTATAAAAGTCTTATTTATTAACAGATTTCGTTCAAATTCGCAGCGTGACTACCTGTATGATGAAAAATTCCTTTGCTAAAAATGGACCGCTGGAGTTTAGGTATTAAGAAAATCCGTATTTTTTATAAAATCTGATTGGAATTCATAATTCGTATTCATTTCATGACAAGCAACGGTTTTGCAGAAAAGGGACCCAATGGATGACGCCGCACCCGAAATATATAGAAACCCCCACGGGGTTTGTTCTGCTTTGGCCCTGTGTTAATCTTAGACAAATTTACTTTTCAGATGGCTAATTCAAGGATGCGTTTAAGTATGCATATAAAGACCGTAAGACTGTATAAGCGTGATCTTGCATCTACCTCCGATTGACGTACTCGAGGCGGCCGTTATTACAGCAGTAAGACTCAAAGAAACCAATTCATAAATATTAAGACGAATTGTAAAAGTGGCGAATTGACAACGAAGGATTCGACCACATCTGTCCAAGAAGGAACACAATAGGTATATCAATGGCTTCATTTGAACGATATTAGTGAGATCACACGACTCATTTAGCCAATGTACGCGAAAACTTTTCATCCTGTCGGGCAGCGAGAATTCTTGGCCCTCCTATAATTATAATTGAAAACGCTCATCTGTGCTCTTGAGTTTCCGTATAAGGACTTTTATTAGCTTACATGGTATACCGGACCAATGCTGAAGTTACAGGATCATAGAAGAATATTACGCACGCTTGGCAGAGATCTCACAGGAGGAAATAGGACTATAGGTAAAACGCATTACATCGAAAGAGATTAGTATTCCATATGTAATCACAGCGCTACTATTCTTGGCATATGTGTGAGGAGGATTCCGTTTTTTAGTCGTTTAAATTTAAACTAAAAATGAATACTTTACAGACTGCTTTTACTTTTAAACGCTATTTTTGAATTTACC